TGTCTCTCTCCTCCCTCTCTCCCTCCCGCTCTATCTGAAGATAAATGCAAAAAATGTCCTCGGGTGAGGATAAAAAAAAAAAAGATAGTACATTACAACCAAGTGGGCTTTATTCCAGGAGTGAAGGTATCAATACAATAGACCACAATAACAGTAAAAGGTCGGGGGGGGGTGTATGGAAACAAAGCATTTGATAAAAACTAGTACCTATTCATGATTTTTTTTTTTTAATAAAAAACTAGGATACAAAGAAACTTTGTTTATTTAAATCAAGGTTATGTACAAAAAGTCTAGAGAAGACATACTTAATAGTGATGTATTGATAGGGACATTCAATATCACCACTTTTATTTAACATTGTATTAGAGGTCCTAGCCAATGCAGAAAAAGAAGAGAATAAAAGAAGTGAAATGAAATAAAAAATAAATAAAATATATTATAAGGCCAGAGTTTAAACTGTCATTATTTATAGACAAAATGATTGTATATATTAAAAATCAACAAGATTCTACAGGTAAACTATTTTAAAATAAGTTGTTAGATACAGGATCAATATACAAAATTGTTTTTTCTATATAGTAGCAACAAAGAATTAGAAAATGAAAAAAATATATTATTTATAGTAAATCAAAAATTACCAAATACCTAGGAATAAATCTAATGAAAAATGTATAAGTGTTCTATCTAGAAATGTATAAAGAAATTAGGATCAGGGCGGGGTGGGATCTGGAAGAAGGTGTCGGGGGCGGGGGTAGAGGAGAAACATCTGTAACAAAAATAAATTAATAAAAATTGCAAAAATAAAGAAATTAAGATCTAATAAATAGGTTCATAGATTGGAAACTCAGTCTTGCAAAGATGTTACTTCTTACCCAATTGATCTATAAATTCCATACAATCTCAGTCAAAATCACAACAGGTTTTTTGTGAAAATTGACAAACTCATGAAATTAATATGGAAATGCAGAGAACCAAGAATAGCCAAGACATAGTTAAGAACAAAGCTTGAGGACTTATACTACTGGATCCCAAGTCTTGTTACAGAGCTCTAGTACTTCAAACAGAGTGCTATTCATCTAGCACCCAGATCTTGCTTGCTTTTTTTTTTTAATCCTCACCCAAGGATATTTTTCCATTCATCTTCAGATAGAGTGGGAGGGAGGAGGAGAGAGAGAGAGAGAGACATTGACATGAGATAGACACATCCTCTGGTTGACTCCCAAATGACCCTGACCAGGGCCAGGGACCCACAACCGAGGTACCTGCCCTTGGCTGGAATCAAACCCATGACTCTTTGGTCCATGGGCTGACACTACCCGCTGAGCAAAACTGGCCAGGGCCAGATCTTGCTTTTTTTTTTTTTTTTATCCTCACCCGAGGATATTTTTCCAGTTTTTGTACAGGTAGAGTGGGAAGGAGAGAGAGGAAGGGAGAGAGAGAGAGAGAAACATCGATGTGAAGGGACACATCGAGTGGCTGCCACCCGCACGACCAACCAGGGCCGGGGACAAACTGCAACTGAAGTACGTGCCCTTAGCGGGAACTGAACCCGGGTCTCTCCGGACCACAGGCCGACGCTCTAACCGCTGAGCCAAACTGGCCAGGGCTCTTGCTTTTTTTTTAATCCTCACCCGAGGACATTTTTTTTCCATTTTTTGTTCAAATAGAGTGGGAGGGAGAGAGAGAGAGAGAGAAACATTGACGTGAAAGGGACACATCGAGTGGCTGCCACCCGCATGACTAACCAGGGCCAGGGACAAACTGCAACCGAGGTACGTACCCCTAGCGGGAACTGAACCCAGGTCTCTCTGGACCGCAGGCCGACGCTCTAACCGCTGAGCCAAACCAGCCAGGGCCAGATCTTGCTTTCTAAATACTATTCTCTAGTAAAGGGAACCAAAGTTCTTTGGAAGAAGTGGTTAATTCTACAACTGGGGCATGGAAAATACAAGATGAGTCTGGAACATCTTTCAGTGCCAGTAAGCAAGGAAATGCATGGGAAAGGATGAAGGCATGTTAAAGATACAGAAGCCAACCTGATGGAACTCCTAATGGCCAAACCTAAATAAATTTGAGCAACAAAGTGATCATATTGCCTGGCCAGTATGGCTCAGTTGGCTGAGCGTCATCTCAGTGCACCAAGAGATTTCAGGTTTGATTCCCAGTCAGGGCATATGCCAGGGTTGCAGGCTCAGTCCCCAGTGGGGGTGTGCAGGAGGCAGGCGATTGATGTTTCATCTATGTTTCTCTCTCTCTCCCCCTCTCCCTTCCTATTTCTCTAAAATCACTAAAAACTTATTTTAAAAATACTAACAATGATCATATTGAATTCTAACCCATAGACTAAAACAAATATCCATGAGTTCATACTGATATAAATAAATGAGGAAGAAGGGTCATCTGTTCTTTACAGAATTCTAGTTAATAGATGTACAAGGAATTAGGAAACTACAAAACCACCACCAGGGGAACACGACAGTAATTGTTGCCAGCAAGATGGGTGCTAAAACAGTGGTCAAAAGCTTGAGAACAAATAGGATATTTGCATAGTTTCAACATCTCTCCCCCAAGATGATCAGTTACAAAGGAGAAAATAGTAACTACAGTGGAGAGACCCAGTAGACACTTCCATAACCAAGCGATCATGGTTAATATGTCAAAATCTTGAAAGAAAAGGAAAAACAGGACCCTGTCACAGATTGGGGAGAGGCTAAGGAGACAAAACTAGATGCAAGGTGGGACTTTAGATTGGATCATAGAACAGGAAAAGGACATTAATGAAAAACCGGTGAAGTTCAAATAAAGTCTGTTGTTTTTACTATATCAATATTAATATATCAATGTTCATATACTTGTTTTGATCATTGTACTATGGTTGTGTAATATGGCATTGGAAAAGCTGGGAGAAAAGTATATGTGAACTCTATTTTTGCAACTTTTCTGTAAATCTAAAATTATTTCAAAATACAAGTTTTTAAAAAACCAGTGTGATATTGTCAGAAGGTGCATCAGTTTCCCAGGGCTGCTGTAACCAAGTACCACAAACTGGGTGGCTTAAAACAACAACAGTTTAATCTCACTGTTCTAGGAGTTCAAAATCAAGGTGTCAGCAGGGCCTTGCTCCCTCTGAAGGCTCTAGGGCAGGATCCTTCCTTGCCTCTTCCTAGTTCCTGGTGGTTAACAGCAATTCTTGATATTCTTTGGCTTGTAGCTGCATCACTTCAATGTCTGTCTCTGTCTTCACCTGGCTTTCTTCCCTGTGTCTGTATTTCCTCTCCTCTTCTAAGGACATCAGTCCAATATGAGCTCATTTTAACTAAATAATCTGCAAAGACTATTTTCAAATAAGGTTATATTCTAAAGTTCCAGTTAGATATAATTTTTAAGAGGATACTATACTGTTTAATCTAGTACACAAGTACAGGCAAATAGACCAATAGAATGAAAACTCTAGAAACACACTCACATATTATGTCTGACGTACAACAGATGTGCCACTGCAATGCAGTGGGAAAAGAAGGGTTTTGTAATAAATGAGTCCAATGAAAATCTGCATGTGGATGAAAAGAATCTTGACCTCTACCTCAAATCATACATAAAGACTAATTTCAGATTATATATACTTAAATGTAATAGATGAAATAACATTGTTTTTACAGTACTCACAAGAGAATATCTTCATGATCTGGGGATAGGCAAAGATTTCTTTAATTGGACACAAAAAGAACTGACATTATTAAGACGAGTTGATAAACTGGACTTAATTTAAAACAAAAACTTTTGTTCGTCAAAAGATACCATTAAGAGAATGAAAAGGTAAGAGCCACAGAGTAGAAAATAATTGCAGTACATAAACCGAAGACTCACATCAAAATATATAAGGAACTCCTACAAATCAATACAAAAAAGGAAGACAACTCATTTTTTTAAATGGGCAAAAAACTCAAATAGGCATTTCATAAAAGAAGATGTCCAATTGGGAATACGATATGAAAGAGTTCTACACACCATTTGAGAAATGCAAATTAAAACCAAAATGAGATACTACTAAACACCCACCAGATTGGCTTAAACTGACCTTATGAAGTCTTGCAAAGATGTGGAACAACTAGAATTCTCATGCATTACCCATAGGAGTAGAAATCAGTATAAGCACTTTGGACCAGCAGTTCTACTCCTAGTTATATACTCAACAGAAATGAGTCTATATGTCCAGTAAAAGACATGTAGAAGAATTTGTGTAGCGGCTTTATTCATAGTAGCCCCAAACTGGAAGTAATCTAAATATTTGTCAACAGATGGATAAATATTTATAATGTTCATACAATGGGACACTATATGTCAGTCAAAAAGAGAATTACTGCAACATGGATAAATTTCAAAAGTAATTGTTGACTGAAAGAAGCCAGTGGAAAAGAGTATATTCCAAATGATCCATTCATGTGAAGTTCAAAAACAAGCATAGTTAATCTACAATGATAGAAATCAGAATGAGTGGGTACCTCTTAGGGGTGGATATTGATTGGGAAAAGTCATTTAAGGGGTGCTGGAAATGTTGTATATCTTCATCGAGGTGATAGTTCCACGTGTGTGTGTGTGTGTGTGTATTGTAATATTTAGCTGAATTCTTAAGGTTTTTGTACATTATTAGATATATATTTTACTTAAAATGTGAAATTAAGAAAAATGTGATATATTAAATATTGAAACAAGTGGACTGTCATCAATATAAAAAGAATTGAGGCTTCGTTAAAATAATTGTATTGAGAGTTTGTTTAATGAGATTTTACTTGAACTTACATTCGGATAACATTTTAAGGTTCACTGGTCATTTTCTCATGAAATGGTAAAAGATATGTCATTTGGGTGTATTCCAGGATAAAGATTCTGGATTTTAAACCATAAATTATATAAACTGATACCAAAATTAGCAGTTTCCTTATTATTTTCAAATTGTTGTCTTGGAAATCTTATTATCACATTGTTCATTTGTCTTTTAGGCTAAGACATCAAGCACACAAAGAATTTTATGCCTACAAACAGGTGAGAAATTTACTTTAGGTTGATTTGATTGTGTTTTTTTATCCCCCAAAAATGAGAACTCATATTTTCACTCATTTTAAATGAGGACTTGTATTCCTGTTAGCATTTTACTAGTCAGTTTGCAGTACATAATAGATTATTTAAGTACTCTTCTTTCTAATTTTTTGAAGTTATAGAACGTTCATATGATACAATAATATAATTTAACAGGGAACTTAGGCTAACATTTTGCTAAAGAGAAGTGCTAGTGCTTATAATTCTTAAAGATTATATTAAATAGGATCTCATTAAATAATTTTTTTTACCTCCTTCGTTAAAGACATACCGGTTCCTCAGATGAACAGCTCTATTCAGTGATCTCGTCTCCTCCCCCCCCCTTTTTTTTTTTATCCTCACCCGAGGACATTTTTCCATTTTTTTTGTTGTTGTTGTTCAGATAGAGTGGGAGGGAGAGAGAGGAACAGAGAGAGAGAGAGAAACATCGACGTGAAAGGAACACATCGAGCGGCTGCCACCCATACAACCGACCAGGGCCGGGGACAAACTACAACCGAGGTACGCACCCTTAGCGGGAACCGAACCCAGGTCTCTCAGGACCGCAGGCCGACGCTCTAACTGCTGAGCCAAACCGGCCAGGGCTCGTCTCCTTCCCTTTTGTACTTTAAGTGTTAGCTTATGTCACACCACTAGAAGTCTACTTGGATCATCACTGGTAACCCTACCCCTTTATACTATCCCTTTACTGATTTATTCTTTAAAATAATAAACTTAGCTTTACTTGAAGGCAAGTAAAATTTGTTTTTTTCCATGTGTCATCCATTAATATTTTATCACTGACACCCAACAGTGGGCCTTACTTTTCTTTTGGACCAAAGCATTATTTTGTTGTTCTTAGCTTTTTTGGTGGGAAGAAGGACAAGCTTTAGCTTATTTAGGTCTTTAACCTTGCTGACATGATGTTACAGAACTGGCTCCCCATTTTAGGATTGCATATCTTTTTGTCCATCTTCTGCCTGTGTGTCTTTGAAATCCAAGCTCCCTGGCGAGTTCCTTAGATGTCTACACTGATGTCATAGGTAATCCCCATACTCTTCTGCATAGGTTTCGTGTGGGATTCATACATGGAATGGAATGTTTTATTTTTTTTTTTTTTAATTTTTTTTCTTCTTTATTGATTTTAGAGAGAGGGGAAGGGAGAGGGAGAGAGAGATGGAGAAATCGATGAGAGAGAATATTGATCGGCTGCCTCCTGCGTGCCCCCCACTGGGGACCTGGCCCACAACCTGGGCATGTGCCCTGACTGGAAATCGAACTGGCGGCCTCTTGGTGCACAGGTTGACGCTCAACCACTGAGCCACACCAGCTGGGCAGTTTAAGCATCACCTGAGGACACTTTTCCATTTTTTGTTCAGGTAGAGTGGGAGGGGGAGAGAGGAAGAGAGAGAGAAACATCGATGTGAAAGGGACACATCGAGTGGCTGCCACCCGCACGACCAACCAGGGCCGGGGACAAACTGCAACCGAGGTACATGCCCTTAGCGGGAACCGAACCCGGGTCTCTCGGGACCGCAGGCCGACGCTCTAACCGCTGAGCCAAACCGGCCAGGGCGGAATGGAATGTTTTAGTTTTCTAAATAAATGAATCTTTTTGTCTCAGTTCTATCATGATCTTTTTTTTTTTTTTTTAATCCTCACCCGAGGACATTTTTGCATTTATCTTCAGATTGAGTGAGAGGGAGAGAGGGAGGAAGAGAGAGAGAGAGAGAAACATCAATGTGAGAGAGACACATCAAGTGCTTGCCACCCAAACAACCCCAACCGGGGATAGGGACAAACTGCAACTGAGGTACTGCCCTTAGCAGGAACCAAACCCAGGACTCTCTGGTCCGCGGGCAGTTGCTTTAACTGCTGAGCAAAACCAGCCAGGGCCTATCATGATCTTGACAACCTATTTGTATGTTAAAAAAGCTAACTAAAGCCCTAGCCGGTTTTGCTCAGTGGTTAGAGCGTCGGCCCGTGGTCCAGAGAGACCTGGGTTTGGTTCCTGCTAAGAGCACGTACCTTGGTTGCAGTTTGTCCTGGCCCTGGGGTCATGCAGGAGGCAGCCACTTCTCTTTACCGCAGGCCGACGATCCAACCGCTGAGCCAAACCGGCCAGGGCAGGAGGCAGCCACTTGATGTGTCCCTTTCACATCGATGTTTCTCTCTCTCTTTTCCTCTCTCTCCCTCCCACTCTACCTGAACAAAAATGGAAAAATGTCCTCAGGTAAGGATTTAAAAAAAAAAAAAAAGCTAACTAAAAAGTATACTTGGCCTTGCTGGTCATTTAAAAGGTGAAATTGACTGAGAGAATTAATAAAGTCCTTAAAAAATACTGAATTTTAGTCCAGCCGGTGTGGCTCAGTGGTTGAGCGTCGACCCATGTACCAAGAGGTCACCGGTTCAATTCCCGGTCGGGACACATGCCCAGGTTGTGGGCCCGATCTTCATTGAGGGGCACACAGGAGGCAGCCAATCGATGTTCTCTCTCATCGATGTCTCTATCTCTTCCTCACTTCCTCTATCTCTAAAATCAATAAAGGAAGAAAAAAAATCTTGGGAAAGAAAAATACTGAATTTGAAATTTAATACATCCCTGAAAATATGATTTGCCCTCAAAACTATTTTTGGTTCAGGAATATAAGATACCCAAAATAGAGATTTTTCCCAAATTTCACTTGCCTGTTTTTTCATTTGAAGATGATATATAATTCTAATAAGTTAAGTTTATTCTCAGAAATTTTCAATTTAATCATTTGCCCTCTTATCACTTGGCATTCTTTTTAACTGATATCTAGTCACTAGAAAGTCAGATTAAGGATGGCACCTGGGTGAATTTTAAGCCTATTTATATACTTCTAGATAGAGCTAAAGTTTTCTGAAGATAGTGATGTATATAATATAATAATGAGCAAAACTTTAAAATTAAGATTGATCTTTTTTTTTTATCCTCACCCAAGGATACTTTTCCATTTATCTTCAGATAAAGTTGTGGGGGGGGGGAGCAATGATGTGAGAGCAACACATCGACTGGTTGCCTCCCACACAGCCCAACCAGGGCCAGGGAGGAACTGCAACCAAGGTCTGTGCCCTTGACCGGAATCAAACCTGCAACTCATTGGTCCACGGGCTGATGCTCTAACCACTGAGTAATACCAGCCAGAGCTGATCTTTTTCATCTTTTATAAATTACTAATCAGTCAGTCCAATCAGCCAGTGCTGTGATTTACTGAACCATAAGGCAGTCAGACTTACTTATTTTCCTCCTGTGTTTGCACTTAGTCCAGATGGGCATATGTTAATGTCTTTTGCCAAATTTTAATCTGTTGTGAAAGAGATTTTAAAATTGCTTTCCAGAAGAATATTGCATCATTGCTCAAGTTCAAAGAATGTTGATAAAATGTTCTGTCTCAAACTGTAAAAGAAATTCTCTTCAATATTGAATGAGAGGAAATAAGTTATATACACAAAAGAAAAATATTTGAAAGTATAAAGAAATTTTTTAAATTACAGATTTAAATGGGCTTAAAAACATACTTTTTGTCTTACAGGTTATATTAAAAGAGAAAGTAAAAGAACTGAATTTACATGAGGTAAGTTGTCTTACAAGTATTTTGATCTTCTCTTGAGCTGTTTTCTAATATAGTGGTATGCTATAGTATGCTTAAACAACTTTACTTACAGAAGTTTTAAAAATTTGGTGTATTTTGATCATTTTAATAGAATATTTGAGGATGAGGTCACATAAAAATTGTGTGAAGACTTCTAAATTTTATTTATTTATTATTTTTATTATTACAAGTATTATTTTAATCCTCCCCCAAGGGTCTTTTTCCATTTATCTTCAGATAGAGTGAGAGGGTGGCAGGGAGGGAGAGAAAGAGAGGAGACAAACATTGAGAGAGAGAAGTATCAATATGAGAGAGATGCATCAATCGGTTGCCTCCTGCATGAGGCTGACCCGGGCCAGGGTTGAAGCGCAACCAAGGTACATGCCCTTGGCTGGAATCGAACCTGTGACTCTTTGGTCCACAGGCCAATGCTCTAACTGCTGAGCCAAACCGGCCAGGGCTGCTTTTTTTTTACAGGGCACTGCAGAAGCTCATCTTTCCTTTCCTCTCTAACCTAATTGTTTTATCAGTTCTCTTACTGTTACTCTGAGAAGGACATGTAATGATCACATGGAGGAGGAGAAAAGAGGAATAAGATTAGGGGAAGTTGGTCAAACGATGATAGTTTTTCATACAATGTTCTTGATTTTAAAGAAGGAAAATAAGTTAACATTAAATTTAAAAATAATTTTTAAATTACTGAATGCATAAAACATGTCAGACACTGTAGTAAATCATAGAGAAACAAAGAAGCATAAAATACTTACTATTTTCTGCTCTAAGAGCCTTATAGAGGAGCCTATAAATGAGAAAGTCATAGACTGTGCAGAAGGGCGCTATCTGTTACCTGGTATATACAATGAGAGGCCCTTGAGGTCCAGTATTGCAGGATTATGTAGCTTCTTCTTGGCTTTTACTCCCATAAAGGATCAAACTCGAGACCTGGGTATGAGCCCTGAGCAGGAATCGAATCCACAACCCTTTGGTGCATGGAACAATGCTCCAACCAACTGAGCCACATCAGCCAGGGTGAGGGATATTGTATTTTGATAAATATATCAACCTTGCTGACTCAGATGCCCAGACACTACCACCACCCCCAGCTTCCTGCACAGTTGGCTCTACAGTCATGACTATTTATATCATTTTTTGTTTTTTCGTTTTTTCTACCAGTCTAGGAGTCAAGCAACACTTATAATAAGTGTAGCTAAGGGGTGATATATGCATATTCAGACATGAGAATATGTTGTCTTTCTATAAAGAAAAGAAAAATATCCTCGCCCTGGCCGGTTAGGCTCAGTCGTTAGAGCATCGGCCTGTGGACCAGAGAGTCCCGGGTTTGGTTCCCCCAAGGGTGCGTACCTCGGTTGCGGTTTGTCCCCGACCCGGTTGGGGTTGTGTGGGTGGCAACCAGTCAATGTGTCTCTCTCACATCGATGTTTCTCTCTATATATTCTCCCTCTCTCCCTTCTGCTCTATCTAAAGATAAATGCAAAATAAGAAAAATATCCTCTCTCAAAACCCACAGTTTCTCCTTTTTATCTTTTCTTCCTCCATCTTTTAACAGAGACATGGACATAAAGGAAATCTCTAAAGGAAACGTGTTTCATTTTTTTCACTACCTTAAGAAAATTTTTTTTTTCTTTTTTGCATACTACTATCTGTATTGGTATGTATCATAGTATAGTTGTAATAAGACTGTACATGCTCTTTTGTATTGCACTTTTTTCATTTAGAAAAAAAAGAAACAACATGTTTCTAGTCATAACCATGCAAGTGGGATAAAAATGGCATCTACTGGATCTTGGGGTCAAGAGAAACAGGTGCCATGGAAGCTGTGACACATTGGGGCATGCAGGTTCTGTGTAAAGGAGTTGCTAGCACTCAGTTCTGGTTCATTGTTGCCATGTGGGGAAAATAGGCCAGTTGTTGCCAGATCTGAGTTTTTTCAAGTGAAGCCTGAGAGTCTTGGCATTAGTCTGTGATCTGTTTGCCATTTGCATTTATTCTTTGATTTGTTCACCACAATGTCTCCAGCTCTGGTTATGGTGAGTGGTTGCTTTCTCCATTAAATTCCTATTGCACCTTTATAAAAAATCAAATGGCCATATTTTTGTGAATCTGTTTCTGGATTCTCTTATTCTGTTCCATTGATTTATGTGTCTGTCTCTTTAGTCTTGATTACTGTGGTTTTATAGTAAGTCTTAAAATCAAGTAGTATAATTCCTTCAACTTTATTTTTCTTTTATTCTATATGTTTTAGCTAGTCTAGTTCCTTTGCTCTTCCATGTAAATGTTAGCATCAGCTTGCCTATATTCTAAAAAAACAAAACAAAAAAATCCTGCTGGGATTTTGGTTAATATTACATTAAATCTATAAATCACTTGGGGGAAAATTGGCATCTTTACCATGTCAAATCTTTCAGTTTGTAAACATAATTCAAATTCATCTTTTCATTTATCTCTTTATTTGGAGTTCTGTTGTTAGGTTCATACATATTTAGGAATTTTATGTCTTCTTGGTGAATTGACTCTTTATCAAAATAAAATATCCCATCTGGTTGGTGTGGCTCAGTGGTTGAGCGTCGACCCATGTACCAGGAGGTCGCCGGTTTGATTCCCGGTCAGGACACATGCCCAGGTTGTGGGCCCAATCCCTGGTGGGGGCATGCAGGAGGCAGCCAATCAGTGTTTTCTCTCATCAATGTTTCTGTCTCTCTCTCCCTCTCACTTCCTCTCTCTCTGAAATCAATAAAGGAAAAAAAAAATTATATGAGTGTCTGTTATCTCAGCACACATCATACATAAAAAAACAAAAACAAAATATAATATCCCTCGTCCTGGCTGGTGTGACTCAGTTGGTTGGAGCATCATATCGTGCACCAAAATGTTGTGGGTTCAATGTCTGGTCAGGGCACATACCCACGTCTCAGATTTGATCCTTGGTCGGGTCACATATGGGAGGCAACTGATCGATGTTTCTCTTTCACACTGATATTTCTCTCTCTCTCTCTCTCTCTTTCTCTCTCTCCCTCTCCCTTCCTCTCTCTCTAGAATCAATGAGAAACATATCCTCAGATGAGGATTTAAAAAAAAGTAATATCCCTCTTCATCTCTAATAATTGTTTTTGCTTTGAAATTTTGTCCGATATTAATATAGCTATTCTAGCTTCTTTTTAAAAAAAATATGTTTTTATTGATTCTTTAGAGAGAGAGGAAGGGAGAGATAGAAACATCTATGTGGAAGCTGAACATCAATCAGCTGCCTCCTGCACGCGCCCCCCCCCCCTCCAACCCACTCCCCACTGGGGATCAAGCACACAACCCAGCCATGTGCCCTGACCGGGAATCAAACCGGGACCTCTCAGTTCATGGGATGATGCTCAATCCACTGAGCCACACAGGCCAGGCCCAGCTTCTTTTGATTAATGTTTACATGGCATGTCTTTTTCCATCCTTTTATTATTTTCGATCTACCTGTATAATTTTTTTTTCTTTATTGATATTAGAGAGAGAAAGGAAGGAGAGGGAGAGAGAGATAGAAACATCGATTAGCCGCTTCCTGCATGTTCCCCACTGGGGATCAGGCCCACAGCCCAAGCATGTGCCCTGACGGGAATCGAACTGGCAACCTCTTGGTGCATAGGTCGATGCTCAACCACTAAGCCACACCAGCCGGGCTGTATAAGTATATTTGACTGAGTTTTCTTATACACAACACATAGTTGTCATGTTTTTTAATCCACTCTGCCCATCTGTCTTTTAATTGGTGTGTTTAGAGCATTTGCATTCAATGCAATTGTTGATATGTATGCTTAGAATTATGTCTACCATTTTATTATCTGTCTTCTGCTTTTCCCTCTCTTTATTCCTTTGCTTCCCTTTTCCTGCCTTTTCAGTTATTTGAACATTTTTAGTATTCTAATTTATCTATTGTGATTTTTACTTTATTTTTTGTACAACTTTTTTAGTGGTTGCTTAGCGATTACAACATAAACATTTAAAATCGATTTTTTCATATTTCAATTGGAATATAGAAACCTTATGTCCATATAGATCCTTTTACATTTCCCCTTTTATGCAGTAGCTGTCATATCACATCTATGTACATTGAAAATCCAATCGAACAGTGTTATATTTTTTTACTTTTGACCATTAGATATATTTTGAAGAATTTAGTAGGGAAGAATAGTCTATTATATTTATCCAGATAATTATCATTTCTGTTGCTCTTCATTCCAGTGTTCCAAGTTTACTTCTTTTGCCACATTCCTTCTGTGCAATAACCTTCCTTCAGCAATTCTTTTAGAGTAGATCCGCTGGCTATGAATTCTATTAGTTCACCTTCATCTGAGAAGGTCTTTTTTCTTTATTCCTGAAGTTTATTTTTGTTGGATGGAGAACTCTGGGTTGACAGTTCTTTTCTTTCATTACTTTTTAAATGTTGTGCCACTTTCTTCTGGTTTGTATGGTTGTCTGGTGAGAAATTCACAGTCATTCACATCATTGATTCCCTATCAGTAATGTGTCATTTTTCTCTGGCTTTGATTTTCAGCAATTTAATTGTGGTGCCTAGGCATGGATTTCATTGGATTTATATTGTTTGGGTCTTACTCAACTTCATAAATATATATTTCACCAAGCTTAGGAAGTTTTCAGTCTTTATTTTTTTCAAGTATTTTTCTGCATCATGCTCTTTCTGTCCTGCCACCCCACCAGAGAAAGAGGCCTCATTCACCTGCTGTTGCTACCTGAGCCAATCAAAACATGCATAGTCTTGCAGAACGCTAAGCCCGCAACTACAGTATAGTGGTACAGCCATCCACGTAGCTTCTTTTTTTTTTTTTTTTTTATCCTCACCGGAGGACTTTTTCCATTTTTTTTTTTTTGTAGGTAGAGTGGAAGGGAGAGAGAGGAACAGAGAGAGAGAGAGAGAGAGAAAGATTGATGTGAAAGGAACACATCGAGTGGCTGCCACCCGCACAACCGACCAGGGCCGGGGACAAACTGCAACCGAGGTACGTGCCCTTAGCGGGAACCGAACCCGGGTCTCTCAGGACCGCAGGCCGACGCTCTAACTGCTGAGCCAAACTGGCCAGGGCAACTTCCAATTTTTTTTTTAACGTACCATTCTAACCATTTTATTTTTTTTAATGTTTTAGAGAGAGAGGAAAGGGAGAAGGGAGGGAGAGAGAGAAACATCGATGTGAGAGCAAAACAGCAATCAGCTGCCTCATACGCACCCCCGAACAGGGATCAAGCCTGCAACCCAGGCATGTGCCCCCACCGGGAATGGAACCAGCAACCCTTCAGTGCACAGGACAACACCCAACCAACTGAGCCACACTGGCCAGGGCCGTAGCTTCCAAATTTGAACAAGTTTGGGTCCATTCCTTCTTCCATCAGGGTGGTATTGCCTGTACCTTTACACAGGAAAGGAAAACCTGCTGTCCTCCGCATCTCAGCAACAGCTGGGATCCTAGCTGCACAGGGACCAGGAAGAGCCATGTTTAGGTTAGTTTCCTGGGTCAGGCAGGTAGTGGGTGAGGAGTCATGTGGAAGACACACAATGGCCCTGCTCTGCCCTGCTTCCCACAAGAAGCTCAGACATGTATGCTGAAAGCTACAAAACATCATTGAACAACATTAAAGAAGACTTAAATGGAAAGGCATCCCATGTTTGGAAGACTTACTGTTAAGATGGCAATATTCCACAAAATATCTACAGAATCAACACAATCTATCAAAATTATAGCTGCCTTTTTTGTTGTTGTTATTGTAGAAATTGAAAAGCAGATCCTAAAATTCACATGCAAATGCACAAGGAACCCCAGAATAGCCCAAAGTAATCTTGAAAATAGTGAAGAACAGAGTTGGAGGACTCACACCTTCTAATTTCAGAACTTACCACAAAGTTATAATGTTTAATATACTATATTAAGACTGGCAGATGGATTGACATAAAGATTAATTAAATACAATTGAGAGTTCAGAATTAAACTCAGACATTTACAGTCCATTGATTTTCAACAAGGGTGCCAAGACAATTCAATAGGAAAAGAGTATTCTATTCAACAAATGGTGCTGCAATAACTACATAACCACATGCAAAAGAATGAAGCTGGATCCCTGCCCTCATACCACATACAGAAATGGATCAAAGACCTAAATGTAACAACTAAAATTTAAAAACTCTTAGACATAAACACAGACATAAATCTTTGTGGATTTGGATTAGACAGTGCTTTCTTAGATGTGATACCTAACACACAAGCAACCAAAGAAAAAAAAGATAATTTGTACTTCATCAAAATTAAAAATGTTTATGCTTCAAAGGCCATTATCAAGAAAGTAAAAAGACAACCCACAGGGGAAAATATTTGCAAATCTTATAATCTGATAAGAGTCTAATATCCAAGTATAAAGAACTCTTACAGTGTAATAATCAAAAGCCTACAAAATAAAATATCTGCAAATAGTTATCCCGATCTTTTCATCCTAAAAGGGTCTTTTGCAAAACAAAAGTTTTTTAATTTGATGAAGTCCAATTTATCATTTTTTTCTTTTGGTTGCTTATGCTTTAGGGATCATGTCATACTTTTGTGCCTCTGACTGTCCAGTTGCTCCAACACCATTTGTTGAAAAGGTTGTCCTTCCACCATTGAAATATTTTTGCACCATCGTGAAAATCAGTTGTCTGTCTGATAAAGGATTTGTGTCTAGAATATATAAAGAACTCTTATAACTCAATAACAAAAAGAAAAGTAACCCAACTAAAATATGGGCAAAGGATTTGAATAGACATTTCTCCAAAGAAGATATACAAATGGCCAATAAGTGTAACATCACTAGTCATTAAAGAAATGTATATCAAAACCACAATGAGATACCACTTCACAACTCTGTGAATGTACCAAAAACTGCTAAATTGTACACTTTGGAGGGGTTTATATTGTGGTTTGTGAATTATATCTCCATTTTTTTAAAAAAGGGATGGGAACTCAGACTGGAAAGACAATCTGTTGCTAATATACTGGAAAGTAAAGCTCATTTGCAAACTATGATCTTTAAAGTTCTAAAATTAGGCCTTGGGCGGTGTGGCTTAGTTTGTTGAGCATTGTCCCATGTACGGAAAGGTCACCAGTTCGATTCCTGATCAGGGCCCATGTCCAGGTTTGGTCCCCAGCTGGGGTACGGGAAGCAACTGATTTCTCTCTTACATTGATATTTCTCTTTTTCCCTCTCCCTTCCTCCTTTTCTAAAAAATTAATTAAAAAAAAAAAATAGACTGGCCAGTGTGGCTTACTGGTTGAGCATCCACCCATGCACCAAGAGGTTGCTGGTTCGATTCCTGGTCAGGGCACATGCCCAGGTTGTGGGCCCGATCCCCAGTGGGGGGCATGCAGGAGGTGGCCAGTTGATGTTCTCTCTTATTGATGTTTCTATCTCTCTCTTCCTTCCTCTTTCTCTAAAATCAATAAAGAAAAAAAATATTTATGTGTGTGTGTGTGTGTTTTGTTTTGTTTTGTTTTTTAAGTTGTAAAATTGGTTTGACCCTTCAGGGACCTTCTCTAAGAAGTCAGTTCCTAGGTTTTTCTCTTGGTGATTGTTCTTGGATTTTGATCCCTTCAGTACTTAAAATGTCAGAATTTATCTTGTGGTGTTTTTTTCAGGTGACTATGGTTTTAGAATTTGTTTGAGAAGAACATAATAGCACTTTATAACCACTAGTAGTAACTCCGTTTTGAAAAGACTACAAATCTAATTTTGGATCCTGGAAAAATAAATAAATAAAAATGAGTGACTTGTCCAACTTCTTGCCCTTTGGTCGGAGCAGTGTTGAATCTCCAGAGGGCAGCGGTCCGGACTGTGTTTCAGGGGAGGGCTGAGCTAGGAGGGAAGCTGGTTGTTTAAGGCCATAGGGACTGTTCACAGTCTACGAGGTGGGGACACCATTCGCCCTTCACAGGTGGGAAGTTGAGGCCCCAAAAGATCACTCCAAGGCCAGAGCTGCTAGCATCTCATTTTTACTGGCAGCTTTTTCTCAAACTTCCTCCAGAAAACAGAAATGGGCTTGAAAATAGTGCTCCCAGCCCTGGCCGGTTTGGCTCAGCGGTTAGAGCGTTGGCCTATGGTCCAGAGAAACCCGGGTTCGGTTCCCACTAAGAGCATGTACCCCGGTTGCAGTTTGCCCCCGGCCCTGGTTGGGTCGTGCAGGTGGCAGCCACTCGATGTGTCCCTTTCACGTCGATGTCTCTCTCCCTCTCTCATTCCCACTCTATCTGAACGAAAAATGGAAAAAAATGTCCTCAGGTGAGGATAAAAAAAAAGAAAACAGTGCTCCCATTGCAAAATTTAAACGTGAATAAAAGCCACTGATACTGGTAGACTGCCTTAAGGCCTCCTCAGCTCTGCCCCCCACCCCCCACTCCCCACCCCGAGCTGATCACAGTCCTATGAGGGAGGTGGGACAGGCAGTGTCCTCATTTCACATAGATGAAGGACAAGAGTTATTCTTCCCCTCATCCTGTGAGGATCCTATCTGATGCATATACAGGGCCCTGAGGGAAGGGCGTTAGAAGACCATGGGGCACCAAGATTCACTTATCCTGGCATGTAACCTAAGAAGACTGGGTTACTTGTTATAGGTTATAAAAAAAATTACAGAGAGACTATGTCAGTAGTCCGGGCAAGAAATGGTAATGGTTGAACCAGGGTCCATAGACATGGACAAGGAAGCAAGCAGGGAGGAATTCAAGCTTTGAGCAGGAGGTAGAAGTGGACAACAGCACATCAGTGCAGAGCCCTGGGTCCCCAGCCCAGCTGGCCCTGACCAACGGCATGGCCTTGGGAAGCGTGGTGATTGCTCTGAGTTTCTGTTTCCTCCTCTATAAAATGGGGGAAGGTGACCATATTTGGTGTCCCTGGGCACTGGTAAGTGCCAAGAAGTAGTGGTTGAAAACCAGCATCTGGGTATGAAGGAGAAGCCTGTCCAAGCTGTGGAGCCTGGCCACCTGTCAGAGAGCCATCCTGGCCTCATCTGCACATTTTCTCAAGTTTAGTTCAGTGACTCTTGAGTAACTTTTCATATGACAAAGATAGACAATGACAGAAGGACATTGCCAAAGTGAGGGGACTCAGGAACTATAAAAAGCATGTTACTAGAGAAAGGGGAGCCCAGGGCACGCCCAGGGGCATGAGCAGTCCCTGGCAAGGTCTGTGCTGCTGAGCAGGCAGAGAGCCCCTGCGGACTCAGCTCCTGGGCACACCACAGGCAAGCTGCATTATCCGGCCTATCTAGTGCGAATGAACCTAAATCAAACTCTTCTGACGCACTGAAGCAAAGGAAACTGCCTCTTGCTTTCTGTCTTCTCCCACCTGCCCTCCTCTTTGAAGACATGTGACAGGAAGAGCAAAAGACTCTTCAGAAGACCTTGACCAGTCAAGCCTATTTCTTTTACTTAACAAACTGTGGGACATTGTAAACCCCCCTGAAAGGGCTGGGCCTTGGGAGCCTGCACTTTACTTTGTAGCCTGAGAGAGTACTTAGACACTTTGCCTCATCTGTGAATTTATCTTTCAGCTCTGTGCAGTGTGTCTAGAAGACTTCAAGCCTCGAGATGAGTTGGGAATTTGTCCATGTAAGCATGCCTTCCACAGAAAGTGAGTATTGGTGTGGAATTATTTAAAGGGACCTGAGTTTGCGGCACATCAACCAACTTACATGTGGGCTTGGGACAGTGCCAGACAGGCTTGAAGGCTTCATGATTGGTCTATAATGCAGAAAGCACCCTACAGGGTGGGGTGTGTGTACATGACACTAGGAGGAACTGGGGCTGTGGAACGTGACCACCCCAGCAGGACTCTGGGCAGAGAGCCAGGCAAGCCCACACCTCCAGGGAGCCCAAGCTATAAACAGCTATTTAATGGAACTTTCCAGTGAGAGCTTACATTCCAAAAAACTTATTTAATCAAAACCATAGTTATTTTAAATCAAGATAGAAAAATCTGAATGTAAATGGTAGTGTGGGGTTCTCTCCTCCTCTTCTTGCAGACATATTCATATTCCCCCTTCTCTTGCAAATTTATGCGTTTTACATTTCTATTAGAAAATTTTATTTCTCCCACTTCACACCACCCTCAGTGTACTTCTTTCTGTAAGAAACACGGATAACAGAGGGTATGGCACACTGACTGCCTTCTTACCATTGCTTTTTGGAAGATTGGAGGCTCTGGTTCCTCCAGAACATTCTCCACTGTGTTCTCCACTGAGGGGTGGAGCTCCTCAGGACCTGACTGTTCTGGACAACAAACGTGCTCAACATGCAAGATGTAGGAGGCGGGGGCACCTACCATGAGCACGGGACTGATGTCTTCCTTCCTGTGGTGTCTCATTTTGCAGGTGCCTTATTAAGTGGCTGGAGGTTCGGAAAGTGTGTCCACTGTGCAACATGCCAGTTCTGCAGCTGGCCCAGTTGCACAGTAAGCAGGACCATGGACCCCCACAGGGGCCCCTGCCCGGGGCAGAGAACATTGTATAACTCACCACAAGAATCAAACTGTTGCAGGATCCCACGTCCGCACGGAGGCAGGAGGAACACAAGTGCTCCCTGTGTTGGCAGCTCCACCTGGGTACCAGCTGCCACTCCCTTTGCCTCATGAAGCACTCTTGGGCCAACGAAGCTGAGAACCCAGAATTCTGGGGGTTTTTTGACAACCAAAGCACGCTGACACTACCCCATGTCGAGAGAAAAGAAGTTGAATGAGCCTGTGGGTTTGGTTCAAGAAACTTCATGAGTCTCTTGCTGACTCAATTACATGCTGTCTCCTAGACACTTATCTCCATGTAAGGTGACTCTTTCTCACGCAGAAGGGAAGATACACACAAGTGTTAGAGAAGGGAATTGAGGGCTGGTCTTTAAAGCCACCAACCCCCCACCCTGCAGACAGATGAGCTTCTATGCAGACTGTGCATGCCTTAGCAGCAGCAGACCTTCCCGGCAGCCCCTGAGCCAAGTAAAACCAGCGGTTACCTCAGCCGAAGCACGACCAGTTGCCTGGTTGGTGAGACAGTGCCAACAAGGCTTTTCACCTTTCGTTCCTTTGATAAGGCCATCTTGGAACCCAAGGGCTTTGGTTACAGTGCCCGCCATCACTTCTCCCTCAGTTCCACAACACCTGCTTATCAAATTATCCAAGCGAAGAACATTAGGTGTGCTTAGAAAGGCCTGGTCAGAAGCCATTTCCTCTACTCCCAACCCCCCTCTGCCCTCACCAGTGAGGCATGGCCAAGCTGCCCATCAGGAGCCCCAGCAGAGGGTGGGCCTCTGAGCCCATGCTGTCCCTGTGTGCCCCAGGGGGCCTCAGAGTGCTGCCCAGGTTCCCCCCTGTGAAGTGACTCCAGCAGAGCTGCTACTTGGTCGCAGTTGGGAGCCACTGGGAGCTCCTCAGACAGCTGAGAATGGCAAGTCCTCCTGGCCCTGCTGAGAGAGGGGGATGCTGACCCCCTTGCCTCTCCCTGTCTTCCTCCCCTCTGTTCTTGTCCCTCCCTTGCCCCATCTGTTTTTACTTCAGAGAAAATGCCTGTCATTGACTTTTTAACAATTTAAAGCATCCCAAATAAGATCCCTCTGTAATTCTTTAGCCAGGGATCCACTTGAAATTGTAAATAGTTTCAGGAAGCTCCTGCAGGGCTGTTCATTGGTGTGTGCCTCAGTATTCGGACTTGCGAAAACCAATTGAAAGTGTCTTTATAGGAAAGAAATGCATGCTATTCTTTGGCTCTTTCTGTCCAACTTTTCTAGAAATGACTCAGAGTCCGTTAGGATTCATGAATATTGTATAAATTAGCTATGAACTTTCTAGTTCTTTTCCACAGCCCTGTTCTCCACCTCCTTCCATTACAGGGATGGGCTCGTCAACAGCTTTGCCTCTCTCCCTCACAGGTGTGAGCAGGGCCGCTCTCACTGGAAATACTGTCTGCGCGGTACGGAGAGGATGGAGCAGCTTTGCAATTCTGATTATGGCATGTATCCAGGAATTTTTTCTGGAACCCAGCCTCTGCCATCTTAGAATGGGAAAGGGAACCTGTCCTTGGCTCAGGTAGCTGGAGTCAGAGGATGAGGAAAATTCCTATTAGCCTAGAAAAGTGCTGGGCAGAATCCAGTTTGGAAAATTACAAATCTACTTAGTCAGAATTGGCCGTTTCCTGCATGACCTATTGTATGGTATTCCTATGGTATGCCAACTGGACTGTTTCTTAAACAGGGCAAGGAAAGTGTGGAATATTTTTATATGAAAGCCTTAGCCTGTTTGGCACCCATGAAAAGAACTATTTGTACACTCGGACTTTCGCCCTCTGTTTCTGCGTTCTGTTTGTAGCACAATAGAGTTGAATGCTGCAAAGCACCCAGTTTACAGCGAAATATTTTCAGTGACCAGTGTCAGAAGTAGGCTTGCTTCAGGACTAGCCTCATTAATGACCAACACCCACCATTTTCCATGGAATGGCCTTGGAACAAATGTCATCTTGTCATTATGGGGTTTGAATAAGGAAGAAATTTCCCCTCGGAGGAGGAGGAATGCGTGTGCTCTATACCGCAGATTGCTTCGACCCCGCTGCAGGATTATAGCCTTTCCGTTGCAGCCACCTTCTGCCCGTGTCAGTACCAAGGAGACAGCCTCACCAAGTCCCTGTATTTGTAGGGAGGCAAATTAATTCATGTCACTGTGTCATAGCTAAAAGTTGAGGTGGTTGGTGTGCACTGGACCAGAGGCGCAAATAGTTTGAGGAAAGCTTGAGAATGCTGTGCGCTCTCCACGGCACCGCAGTGAGTCTGCTTTGCCCCATGAGGTGCCACTAACGTCCTCAACCCTTGTGAATGGGGGGGGGCTTTGTAAAATGCAGCGCTTCCACTAGGGTAGGGCTGGCCATTGGAGTGCTGAGTGCCCACTCTGCTCATAGTCATCTCCCCTTTCTTGGCTTGATGCCCTTCTACAGCATGGCCATTGTCACTTGGCAGTATCCTGCAATTCTTAGCTACGCAACTTAAATGCATTTGCCACCCACACTTGGGTCCTCTTCCAGCACCCCCTGCACTGCACTGCTGCTAACTGCATGTGGCTAAGGGTTAATCACAGTGTTGTGACAGTTAATTTCCATCTGAACTTTTTTTTTAAAGAATGAGTCAAGGATCCCTTAATACACTTGGCCCAGGCTCACACCTCACAGTGAGGCTGCTCTGTCCTATCTGAGTGGGTGACCTCTTGTTCATCTGTAGACACATGGGGACTCTGATCTGCTTTCGGGCCACTGGCTAATGACATGATTTTTTACTTTATCTTAATGCATCTTAAGCAGCTCCAAGACTGGATGTTACTTGCATGCCATGAGCTGGCGGAACAGAACTCAGCCCCAACTAGATTCCACTGGTGGCTGAATCATTATCTAATGGTCACCAGGGGCACAACTGAATTCAGCTGGCTTTAGAAATGGAACAAAACCAGCCTGACTTGATTCTTGGTTGTCTACCACTTTACTTTGCCACAGGGGATCTGGTCAGGCCTGTCCCTGGAAGGGAGCAGGACAAGACAGAAATAGCCAGATGGGAACAGGTGGCACGTGCATGAAGAAGTCTGGGCCGAGGGGTACAGGGGACTTCCCACCATTGCCAGACAGCCAGTTCTTCACAAGTCTTGACAAATGAAGAGGGTTTTCCCCAATGCCAAGCCCCCTGGATCCGTGACCTCAGTCCCTTCCCACAGCCCCACTCCAAAGTCTGTCATCTCCAGACCTGATCCCACTCTGCTAAGCTATTCTTAATGACTGTAGTAATTACTTTTCTGAGGCTTTGTGGGAATTATGAAATGCATTTTGGGAAGCATCCCCAGAGCTTTGGACAGAAAAACTGGTCAGAGCAATTTGAATTAGTCACTCACCAGCCAGGTGCCTTTCTGCCAGTTGTCCTCTCCGAGCCTGTTTCCTTATCTGTTACCCAGGAATTGCAATAATGGCATCTTTACTGGCTCTTGCAAGGATTAGCTGTGTCCAGAGTCTGGCAGGTGACAGGTCTGGAAGTCATGGGAGCTGCTGATACCAGGCAACATCACACAGGTCATGTGGGGCTCCTGTTGTCCCAGGTCTGCTGGCTCCCTTTCTCTTACCCTGTCTTCACTGCCTTTACCCAGTGCTCCCGACTTTGTTGTTGCCCACTGAACATGCTTTTTATAAAGTTTTTTCTTTATTGATTTTTTATTTTTAGAGAGGGAGAGATAGAAACATTGACGAGAGAGAACATTGACTGGCCACCTCCTGCATACCCCCCACTGGGGATTGGGCCCACAAACTGGGCATGTGCCCTGACTGGGAATTGAACTGGTGACCTCTTGGTGCATGGGTCCATGTCAACCACTGAACCACACCGGCCAGGCTGAACATGCCTTTTTAATTTTGAACAGGTAATCCCCTTCTGTGGTTCATAAATCAGTCTTCCTTGCATCCCTGACCTCCAGCAAGCCCAGCTTCTCACCGCTTGCACACCGTTTTGTTCTTGTGTATCCTTCCAGAGGTCATTTATGTATATACAAGCAAATACACACACGTGTGTATGTACATATATGTGTGTGTATATAATTTTTCTCCTTTAATCATGTAATACCAGAGTATATTCAAGTAGCATTCCTATTCACATGGGAAGAGCTGTACCAGAAGTCAGAATATATGTCAAAGGTGAGCCAGGAACTGGGAAATAAGCATTTTTTTAAAATTGATTGCAGCACTGGAATTCTAGTTTTCTGTACAAATCAGAAACTACAATCCCTCCCTGACTTACCAGATATCCAAATACAGGAGCACAACCAGTGTCCAGACTCTGACAGGACACTCAAGAGCAGGCTCTGTAAGCCAAGAACAGTGCAGGCCTCTCATCCAGGTCCAGCAGCTTTGCAGCCACCTGGACAAGCTGCCCCACATCCTGGCCAGTTCCAAGTAAAGCCCGGGTCTAGCAGCGATCTGTTAACAACTCTCTTGCTTTCTTAGGTGAGCACCTGCGTTTGAGGCAGGATTTTTGAGCAGCAGCAACTGAAGGCCGAGACACCTGTCTACCTTGTGAAGCAGGTGTCTCAGATGTTGCTGAGCAAGTAGGCGGTCCATATGTAGATTAATCCTAGATGTTCAAGTACATGGGTTGGGCTCCCTTTCCCGCCCCACTGTATCCACACACACCCCAAAAAACACTTCCCACAGAATTTTTTCCAAGCCCAACTCTTCTCCCATTCAATGACATTACCCCACCAGTAATCTTTTCTTTAAAAAATATTTTTAAGTTTTTTTTTTGTTTTTTTTTGCCCCTGCAGAATATGAAAATTAAAGCTGCTTCTTTTACGTAGCCATGGGGAGAGGGCCATGGCTGGTGCCTCTGGGTCCGAAACCCCACCCCACCCCCCGTGTCCTGCCACCCATAGCTCCCCCAGGATTCAATGTGCATGTGGGCCCCTGACCTGAAACTTGAAAAGGAATTGCATGTGAACCTCCACCCATCTGTCCCGTGATGAATCTCTGGCCCTGGGTTAGTGTGTCCCTTCACATTGGCTGTTAGGAATTTGAATCAAGGACCTAATTCACGATGTATAAATTCAGGTAAAATTTGCAGTTGGTAACTGGAAAATGCTGGGCCATGGTTCTTTAGCAGATAAGATTAATGTGCTTCCATTTCAGAGTTATCAAGAGGAAAATAGAGAGGCTTGTTCAATGTCATTTGTCCAGTTCCTTTTAGAGCCCAAGTTGTTCCAAAATGCAAATAGTCTTCTCCACTTTTAGACCAAACATCAGCACTGTTTACCAATCCTGTGCTCACTTCTGTAGGTCAAGAACACCCTGCCTGTCCCAGGGACATGCACCTAGAAAGTGAGCCCCGCCAGTGCCAAGGGACTTGTCTGTACTTTGATTGTAGCTCCTTTCCACTCCCTGTGCCAGTGCGAGCCTAGTGGGTCTGCACCTCGGGCCAGCTGCACAGCACCCGTCTGCCCCTTCCCTCCCAGGTTCCCCTAGAGCATGTAGGCAGATGGGACCAGTGTTAATAAGTCCCTCCTGGACACCGTCTTCCAAGATAGTGTTCCTGATAACTGTCATCTCTGGGTCTCTTGACAGATCATTGCCAGGAAGGTAGATAGTTCAGTCTTGTAGTTTAGCCCACTAGGGATCATTCACTAGATATTATATAACTCCCTCAAAAAAAAAATGGTTTATGAAATGCTGAGCCTCAGGTTTCATAGACGTGTTTGTACACTAAGAATTCTGCAGCAGAATATTTTTAAACATTCGCAGTTTTTTGTAAGCTATATTTTTGTATATTTAATTGCTATTTTAAAGTTTTAATGCATTTTTTGCTAATTACTCTTGTTTAAAAATAAAACATGCATGTAATTGACTTAAACAAATGTAAATAAAGAGCAGATTTTGAAAACTACTTCGTGTTCATCACATACCCACTCATGGTCACCAACACACCCCACCGAAGCTTGTCTAGCAAGAGTTGGAAAGTCAAGGTGAGTAGTTCTAATCAAACTGAGCTGATCACCAGCAACAGGTGACTGAAAGCTCCTGGCCTGTCCCCACAAGGTGTGGGTGAAGGTCAGAGGTGATAAGTAGAACACTAGGCCACAGTGAGGGAGAAAGCAGAGAAGCCAAGGCCTCACCTGCCACCCTGGCCTCAGCTTTGCTGACGTGGCTGGACAGACAGGTAGTTTCCCAAATACAGACACTAGTGATCAGGGAGGCTGAAGTAGCAGAACTAGCCCATACCTCATACCTTTAACTACATCCCAGACCTGCAAATAACTTCTTTTAGGAGAAAAAGAAAACCTCTTGGTCCGAAGTCACCCTGTGGTAGCTGCCATTTCTCCTCACCACCACTCACTAGGACCTCTGCAGATCAGCTTCTGCCTCATAGCTTTGGGGGACTGTTCCCCTCAAGGCCATCTCTGGGCCACCTCTTAATCCTCAATGCAGGTGCCTGGAGAACTCCTCTCCCCTCAGTCTCCTGAGCAACAGACCCCCACCAGCACCCTCTGACCTCGCTTCAGTTTTCTTTGCAGCCTTCCCTCTCTCTGCCCATCAGCTGTTATTCTCATTCTACCTTGGTAGTCACTAAATTCCCACCTCCACACACCATCATTCTCGGATATATTAGCTACAACCCAAACATCCAGCTGCTATTTGGTATCAATCAGCCCCAAACCAAGCCTCCCCAATAAGCCTGTGCTCTCCTAGAACCTCCCTCCCCCACATCATCATCACAGCCCAACCCTCTAACCATTCCACCTCCCCACCGGGCCACCTAACTGCTCGCACGCTGGTGTAGGCCAGGCCGCCTTTCCTTGTCACCTGGACCATGACCAGTCACCCCCACTCCCTCTAGTGGGGGGATGTGGAGGGACCCCCAGGCTACCATGTGGCAGGCAGACTGAAAGGACAACTGCGGGGAGAAGATGGCAGTGGTGAGTGGAGACCGAGCTGACATGCATCCCAAGCTGGAGGGACTGAAGATGATGCGGGGGAAGTTCGGGGGAAAGGGTGTGGACACTTGTGTGTCAGGACAGCCTTGGAGATAGACAAGTTGAGAGGAGGAAAAGCAAGCACCGCCTCAGGACTGGAGCTCAGAGGCAAGTGCTGGGCTGGGCGTACTGCCTTCGAAGTCAGGGTCACGGTGAGTACTGATGACTGCTTTAGTCAGGACTGCGCCAAGAGCTGGCAGTGTGGAACTGTCTTCAGAGAACAAGCTGGCTGAGACAAGGGCCAGGGAAGCAGAAGGAAAGCAAGGGGTCTGGGTTAGAACTGAAGAAGGTAAGGACATAAAATGCCCGTTAGATTTAGTAACAAGACTCACTGGTGGACCTATCGAGAACCTTCCCATGGAGTGACAGTGTGAGCAAAGTGAGGTCACAGCGACAGCTTCTCAAGAGTGAGTGGCGCCCTGGCCGGTTTGGCTCAGCGGTTAGAGCGTCGGCCTGCGGTCCGGAGAGACCCGGGTTCGGTTCCCGCTAAAGGCACGTACCTCGGTTGCGGTTTGTCCCCGGCCCTGGTCGGTCGTGCAAGTGGCAGCCACTCGATGTGTTCCTTTCACATCGATGTTTCTCTCTCTCTCTCTGTTCCTCTCTCTCCCTCCCACTCTATCTGAACAAAAAATGGAAAAATGTCCTCGGGTGAGGATAAAAAAAAAAAGAGTGAGTGGCAAGTGGGTCCTCCAAGGTGGAAGGCGAATGCAAGGAAGGAGGGGACTCTGCCTGTGTGACCTCAGGCCAGTTAGCTTTTCCGTTGAATTGTGGAGATCACAAAGACTGCATGAGACACCCTGGCCGGTTTGGATCAGCGGTTAGAGCATCCGCCTGCGGTCCGGAGAGACCCGGGTTCGGTTCCCGCTAAGGGCACGTACCTCGGTTGCAGTTTGTCCCCGGCCCTGGTTGGTCATGCGGGTAGCAGCCACTTGATGTGTCCCTTTCACATCGATGTTTCCCTCTCTCTCTCTTCCTCTCTCTCCCTCCCACTCTATCTGTACAAAAAATGGAAAAATGTCCTCGGGTGAGGATTAAAAAAAAAGACTGCATGAGACAACCTGTGTAAAGCACTGTCACAACCTCTAAAGCACAGGTGGGACCCACAACACAGGGGCCTGGGACTCCACAAAAAGCGGCCCCAGCCCCCTCTCCCTTCCCTACCTTCTTGAGAGGGGGTAGGGGCGGCTGGTCTTCTGCCCAAGCAAGCAGAGAAAGGCCTGGGACATGAGGGTTCAAGAAGCATGGCTGGTACCAGTGAATGCGTGGCAGCACTGTCTTTGGTGGCTGTGAAGGGAAGGTGGGGCCACCAACCATGTGTCTGGAAGTGACAGAGAAGAGACAGCAGGATGGGGGTGGAGGGTTCAGGCTGAGGCCAGGGAGTGCTACAAGGAACAGCAGTTGGTAAGACCTCGATCGCCACCCATGGGCCACAATTTCCACCCCACCCCCACAGCGCCCCTCCAGCTCTGCGGCCCGCACCAGGACAGCAGCACCCACAACCCACAGGTCCTGGGACTGTGTGCGTGGCCACCAGTGGGGACATGGCCATGCACTCAGAAACCACGGGCACGGGCCTTTGCTGCCCCCACGTGGCCAACACGGGAGGCGCCACAGGATCCCAGTCTAAAGAGGAGGAGCACTGGCCGGAGCCCCGCCCCAGCCCCGCCCCAGCCCCACCCCGTGCCCCACAATCTCTTGGAACCTTCATTCCCAATCCTTCCCAGGCCAGTCTCCTTGCCTGAAAGCAATGGACGCACGGGGAGTGCAAGCAGGTCACAAGAGCCTTGGAGTTTCCTTCAAGTTCAAAAGCTGCTTTATGGCCTTGAACAGCGATGCAGGCACCAAACAACACAAAATAAGACAAAATTGCAATATCCAAGGGGAAGATTTTAAAAAGTTATTCTGCACAGCAGGAAAAAAACGGTCTAAAATCAATGTGTATCAACACCCAGATCTCAAACCCCGTCTCTCAAGCAGCGTTTTGAGCCAGCCTCCCAGAGAACTCAGGACTCAGGGCCAGGAGTGGGACAGAGAGGAGGGACAACCCCGCCCTGCTCCGCGTTAATGAATAGACACCTCAACAACTCCTTGACTTCTACTAACCTGAAAGTGTCACCAGATCCTCTCCCCAGTTCCGTAGAAGAAAAGCAATCCTTTTTGTCTGGTTTTAGTCTTCCAGATTATGCTTTCTGTAGAAGTTTATTCACTTCCAGCAGCCCAATACCCAAGGTAATTCTGCCCAAGGAAGAAGTCCTGTCTTTTCAGAGAGGTTCCTAGCATGTATGGTGTGAAGTCACCTGCAACTGTCCTTCTAAAAGTTGCTTGATTGTCAAAGTTACAGGTATAGAATTAACCTGCCCAATTAAGTTTGCAGAACCTTGAAATAAAACATGTTTTTCAATGTTTACACAAATGCTAATGAACACCAGAGTTAATGCACAGGAGATAATCTCCAAGGCCATACTGACAAAATTGTGATTAGATTATAACACAAAGCAGCTTGCCTTACATTTAGCAAGTTCCACAGGACAAGAAAAAAAACACAGAAACAACACAGAACACTGAATTTCAAATATATACAGCAGGCATTATAGCCAATCCTCACTGCCATGGCATGGTCCACTTTATATATATACATATATACATATATATCTTTCCCTACTGGTTACTAGTCTAGACTGAATTTTTAAGAGTTTATCTTGATGACATAGAAAAATTCACTTATCCTTTCTTGCTTTGATTCAAGTAATACACAATCATAAAATTAAGTCTCTCAAAACACAAAAGTTCAAAGATCCCATTGTGGAAAGTTCCAGGAATCCCCTCCCCAGGTAACGATCAGGGGATCTTCAATAGCTCAAGGAGTGCTCCAACGGCTCCAAAATAACCCTGAAAAAAAGGAAAAGCAATTTTCCTTAGAATTATTTAAATGACCATGACTATGATTACTAGTGTTAAAGCCAACACTGCCCTTACTTCCTGACACCCATTTTCTGAGTACCAATTTTGCTGAGCCCAATATTTTTTATCCATGTTTGGGAATCTGCTGTTGGGAAACCGAGGTCAGGAATTTGAAAATACTGTTCTTGATTCCCATTTTGTTGTATCCATGGGTATAAGGGGCCACTGTACACTGTATTTACTAGAAAAAATGTATGTATACATGGACCTGTGCAGTTCAAACTCCTATTGTTCAGGGGTCAATTGTATTTCAAGACTCAGAGAGCCTAAAATAATCTAAGTTCCATATGTGCAGAAATCAACACTAGAGTCAGAAGCCTGAATGCAAATACAAAACAGAGACAACGGACCAGCAATGCTAACCAGAGAAGAAAATTAAGTGAGCAGGCAATAAGAATGACAATATAAAAATAAAATTTCATAGAGTTCATATTATAACTGAGATGATATAAAGATTAAGTTTTTTAAAAAGTTAACCTAATAAATAATAATAATAATAAACATATACTTGGGCAAGGATTTAAAAAAAATTAGTCTCGCCCTGGCCAGTTTGGCTCAGCGGTTAGAGCGTCGACCTGCGGTCCTGAGAGACCCGGGTTCGGTTCCCGCTAAGGGCGCGTACCTTGGTTGCAGTTTGTCCCCGGCCCTGGTCGGTCGTGTGGGTGGCAGCCACTCGATGTGTTCCTTTCACATCGATGTTTCTCTCTCTCTCTCTGTTCCTCTCTCTCCCTCCCACTCTACCTGAACAAAAAAATGGGAAAATGTCCTCAGGTGAGGATAAAAAAAAAAAGTAAATTTCTTAAAAAAAAAAAATTAGTCTCTATGTTCTACCTAGGAAAAGGTTCAAGAGGTAGAAATTCAGCAAGAGAAAAGTTACACTAAAATATAACATTAGCCCTGGTTGGTGTAGCTCAGTGGTTTAGAACATCAGCTCAATCACTGAAGGGTTGTGGTTCAGTTTGCAGTCGGGGGCATGGACCTGGGGTTGCAGGTTTGATCCCCAGCCACAGTCAGGGCAAACTATCAACATGTCTCTCTCACACTGATGTTTCGATGTTTCTCTCTCTCCCTCCCTCCCTCCCTCTCTGCCACTCTCTCTTAAAAGAAGTGGAAAAAATATCCCCAGGTGAGGATTAACAAAAACATTAAACATGATTTCTTTTTATTCTAAAATAAAGCAAAATAAAACAGGTAAAAGATCACAAAAGGCAAGATGATACAAAAGGTGTAAGAAACAATGATAACTTGGTACTGATTTACTAACATAACACTAGAAGTAATAGACAAGTTTGATTATCTTGAACTTCAAGCTTTTTGATATGAGAAATCCGTGCACTTTGGGTTTTAACTATGAACATAAGCAACTTACAAAGTAAAACTTAAAGCTATTTTAAAGGAAAAAGCAATTTCTATAGCACTTTAAATCCTTTGATTTCTGTTGATTCATATACACAGTTAAAAGTAAATATGCACATATAATTTTTTTAAATGTTCATGATAACACTACCTAGAATCCAACAACACACTTGCCCTGGCCAGTTTGGCTCAGCGGTTAGAACGTCGGCCTGTGGACCAGTCCTGGGTTCGGTTCCCACTAAGGGCACGTACCTCAGTTGCGGTTTGTACCCAGCCCCGGCTGGGGTTGTGAGGGTGGCAACCAGTCAATGTGTGTCTCTCACATCAATGTTTCTCTCTCTCTTCCTCCCTCTGCCCCTCCCGCTCTATCTGAAAATAAATGCAAAAATGTCCCCGGGTGAGGATAAAAAATAAAAAAAATAATAATTAATAAATAAAATCCAACAACACTTGATAATCTAGTTCAACTGCCCCATAATCAAGGGGAGGAGAGAGAGTCCCTTCCATAGCTCTGCCTCTATTTTTCCCCAAAACTGAAAATACAAAAAGGCACTTTCCAAAATAGAGTATCAGGTTGAGCAACTCAGTGATTCCTTTCCACTGTGTCATTTCTAGCCTGTCTACATGTTAACTTAGTTGTTTTGATACTGTGGTTCTAGTCCTGAAATGCTTTTCACTAATTTGTTTTCAGAACCTACATCTTAAATAAATGGCACAGGAATATACCAATACATAAAAACTGACATCTGCCCTGACCAGTTTTCTCAGTGGTTAGAGCGTTGGCCTGAAGACCAAAGGGTCATGGGTTCGATTCCGGTCAAGGGCACGTACCTGGGATGCAGATGCAGATTTCGAGCCCCGACCCCAGTCGGGGTTGTGAGGGAGGCAACCAATCAATGTGTCTCTCTCACATAGATTTTTCTCTCTCTTCTCCCCAACTCCCCAACTTCCTTCCTCTGTATCTAAAAACAATGGAAAAATGTCCTCAGGTGAGGATTAACAACAACAAAAAACTGACATCAAAAAATGAAAAAAGCAGAATCCAGAATAAGTGCATTTATAAAGTTCAAAGGAAAAAATATAATGGATGGCTCAAAAAAGAATAAGGTATCAGAAATACAGCTGAATATTCATTAAGACTTCATTCTTTAATATTGCTGAAGCTCATCACAATGAAATTAACCAAATATCTACCTTGCACTGAATCGGGTAAGAAATAAATAGCTTTTAAAAATTACAATCAAAGTTAAACCCAATATTATTCCATTATCCATTCTTCCAATATCATCTCTACTTTAAATTCCCACAGTGTGAACTGCATGTGCTTTACATAGGCGACATATTTTGGGAAATAAGTCTGCTTACCTCATGTTCCGAAAAAAGTGCTTTCAACTGTCCCTTGGACCAATAATCCAAAGCATATGCCAAAAGCCGCATTGCGATCGTATTAACTCTCAAGAAATTTCCAACAAATACCACCTGGTTAATATTCTGAGCACATCAAAAGAAGGCAATTAGTTTTTATCTTAATTTCTGTTCTCTCATAAAAGCTACCCCAAACAGAGACCATGTGTATAGCTTTTAGCAGCAAATTGACTTCTGATTTTTAAAAAGTATATTTAATCCAATTGATCCAGGACTAAATATTAAACTATCTTTAATCTACTTTGATCCTCACATAACTCTGGACCCACTTCAAAACATGCCAGAAAACATCACAGGTGAAAACAGATTAGGAAAAATGTGTATTAAATATGACAAACAATAACTACTACTTAAGTTTTATGCAGATAAGGAAAAAAAAAAGTAAGGCCCAATTCAAAGAAGGAAAGTGACACAAATAGGCAAATTATACAATATCACAGAAAAGAAATTCAACCTCACTAGTGATCCAAAAAAAGTATCAAACCTATTAAGTGTTAGCAAGACAATTAAAATTCCACTCCCAGTATCAGTCAAGTTCTGGTGAGACTGACCCATTCATCTACTGTAAAAGATGATCTAAACTGGTATAACCCTTGTGCAAAGAAAGCACTTTGGCAATACATATTGGGATTCACAACATGTTCATAGTCTTTAATGTCACTCCTGAGTAAGGCCCTCATCAAGAATAAAATTCAACCAAGGAATAGTTTCATGTTTAAAAATGCTTTGTCAATGGCAAGCAACAAATGCCCAGCTCTATGTGAATGACTTATGATATAAAAAGGAATCAAATATACAACCATGAAATTTATATTTACGTAAAAAACAGAAAATGGTACATACACCAACTAAAATCTTAAATACGTAAGCCCAGGAAAGGGAACATACAATCAAGAAAATAGTGTTGACATTCAAATGAATAAATTTTTTTAATTACTTGATGCTGATACAGTAGCTTTTAATTAAAAATGAAACAATCCTTTTGTACTTTTTAAAGTTTCCTTTTAAAGCTGCCCTTAGTGCAGTAGGCAGCGCATCAGTCTCATGAAGTTTCCTGTTAAGCCACATGTCTATCTTATCTGTTTAAAAGAATAATTTTAAACAAAAATGCATAAACAGGAACCAGCTATAAAGCTGCACCACCTGATCCCCAAGGGAAGGCCATTCTTGGTTCTTTCATAGCCCTGTACAATGCTGCTTGACCTGAATGCTACAAGGCAGCACTGTAAAGAAGCTGAAAGCACAAAGACAGCTCGGCTGCGGTGGAGGGGAGCAGGGTGGGCACTGCGTGGCCTGCTCAGTCTTCTCCCAGCGGCGGGGACTTCCTCTGGATTCCTTCCCAGGGATTCTAGGGCTCCACAATGAGCGTGGAGTCGTGGAGTCTAGATTCAGCATCGCTATCCATCACCACCACCCAATAGTCACCCCATCATCTGACACACTCCCTTCCTGCCTTCCTGTATGTTATCCTCTACTTCTAGACAGCAGCACACTTATTTTCAGTAAGAAAAAAAAAGTCTATTAAAATTAATCTCATGGCCCGGCCAGTGTGGCTCCATGGCTGAATGCCAACCCATGCACCAAGAGGTCGCCGGTCGATTCCTGGTCAGGGCACATGCCCAGGTTGTGGGCCCGATCCCCAGTGGGGGTCATGCAGGAGGCGGCCAGTCTATGTTCTCTCTCACTGATGTTTCTATCTCTCTCTCCCTCTCCCTTCCTGTCTCTCTGAAATCAATTTAAAAAAAAATCAATCTACATGTGAAGAGTTTTCATTTCACCAGTGAAACAAACTCCATCCCATATGACTACCATTAGGCCCCATTCAGACAAGGCAGATGCTGTGTATAAGGTGGGGCCCTGTAGGATGTTCTGGCTTTTCCTCAGAGCAACTAAAGAAATTCATGTCCCCTTACTTCATTAAGGGCACACATTCTTGCTATGGAGCCAATGTTGTTGGTGATGGTGATCAAAGTGGCTCTGGCGAGGTCCTCTTTACTGACAGCCTCTCGCTTCTCCTTGCTCATCATGTTTCCAAAGCTGTGATGGGGGAAAAAAATCCTTTTGATAAACTAAAGGCAACAGAGCCCAACAGAACTTGAATGTTACTCTACTAAGATAAAAGAGACTTTTAGAGCAATATTGTTCCAATCTTCAAAATTTTCATTACAAAAAAATAATAAAGGAGCATCTGCTCAAAGAGAAATGCAGCTTCAAAGAGAAACTCAAGCATTCTGAATGAGCAATGGCTCTCCTTGTGGTTTCCACTGAAACAGACCGAGCTCTGATACCAGATATGCACATATTCAGTTAGGATCTCATCAGACGCACTGTAAGGTACTACTGCTCCTTCTGCAACCAGGGAAAGTTCCAGAAAAACACCTCTAATAGCAATTCCTCCCAAACTGCCCTGCGGTTCCACTCAGCTAAAGGGTCACATTCACATCTGGTAAACTGCTTTATCCTAGCAAAGCCGAAGTTTAGAGTAAACTACTTTAGAGTAAACAACTTTAGAGTTTCAGATTTCCCTAGAAGATCAAGAACTTCAGAGTACCTGACTTATCCCCAGCCGGTGTGGCTCAGTGGATTGAGCATCGTCCCATGGACTTGACTGGTCAAGGCACATGCCCAGGTTACAGGCTCAATGCCCAGTAGGCGGTGTGCAGGAAGCAGCTGACCGATGTTTCTCTCTCACATCAATGTTTCTAGCTCTCTCTCTCTCCCTTCCTCTCTCTCTTAAAAAAAAAGTTCAATAAAAGCATATTAAAAGAAAGAAAAGTACCTGACCTAAAGAATTAATGCATTTATAACTGTGACCAGAAAATAAACCCCACCAGAGAAGGAAGTGATCACCAATGAGCAAATGCTGCCAACACAGAAAATGAAATCTATAACATTCACAAAGTGCCTGAAATTAGTAAATAAGCATGTATATATGAGTACCTTTTCCATTATTAAAAACCATGTGCTCCAATACAAACACAAAAATTTTATTTCCAAACAATCCAAAAATAAAATTAAGAAATAAAATTCAAGCCCTGGCAAGTTTGGTTTAGTGGTTAGAGTGAAGGCCTGAGGACCAAGGAGTCTCGGGTTCAATTCCCAGTCAAGGGCATGTACCTCAGTTTCAGGTTCAATCCTGTGCCCACATCAAGTAGTGCAGGAAACAACCAATCGATGTGTCTCTCTCACATCAATGTTTCTTTCTCCCCCCTCCCCCTGCACTGTATCTAAAAAAATCAATGAAAAAATATGCTCAGGAGAGGATTAAAAGAAATTCTTTTAATTTAAAAAAATTTCAATTTACAATAGCATCAAAGAGAATAAAATAATTAAGAGGTATATTTAACAAAGGTATAACCGTTATTTATACACTAAAAAATACAAAACAATGATGAAAGAAAGCAAAGATCTAACGAAGTAGAAAGACATGCCATCTTTATGGATCAGAAGACTAAATACTGTCAAGCTGGCAATATATATTTTTTTTTAATCCTCACCCGAGGACATTATTTTGCATTTTTATCTTCAGATAGAACAGGAGGGAGGGAGGGAAGAAGAGAGAGAAACATCGATGTGAGAGAGACACACCGAGTGGCTGCCACCCACATGACCACAACAGGGGCCGGGGACAAACTGCAACCAAGGTTACGTGCCCTTAGCGGGAACCAAACCCGGGACTCTCTGGTCCACAGGCCAACGCTCTAACCGCTGAGCCAAACGGGCCAGGGCCAAGCTGGCAATATTCTCCAAAATAATCTATAGATTCAACACAATCCCTATCAAAATCCTAGTTGTCCCTTTTTTGCAGATACTGGCAAGTTGATCCTAAAATTCACATAGAAAGTCAGGGGGCCCAGATGAACCAAAACAATCTTTAAAAAGAACAAATTGGAGGACTCACACCTCCCAATTTCAAAACTTAATACAAAGCTGCAGTTATCAAAGCATTGTGGTTCTGGCATAACGATAAACATCAACAGAACAGAGCTGAGTTCAGAAATAACCGCACACTTATGGACAATTATTCTTCCGCAAAGGGGCCAAGAGAAGTCAATGTCGGGGAAAGAGTGGTCTATTCACTATATGCAAAAGAATGAATTTGGTGCCCAGCTGGTGTGGCTTAGTGGACTGAGCATCATCCCATGGACTGAGAGGTCCCAGTTTGATTCTCAGTCAGGGTTGTGGGCTCAATCCCCAGTAGGGGGCATGCAGGAGGCAGCCAATCAATGTTTCTTTCTCGCATTAATATTTCTCTCTCAAAAAATGAAAAAATTTTTTTAAACATTATGTCCACCCAGGTTTGTGCATGAAATGTTCCTAGCAGCATTATTCATAATAACCAAAAAGCTGAAATAACACAAGTGTTTTTAACTGATAAAGGGATAAGTAAAATGTTATATATCCATACAATGGAATATTATCCATCAATAAAAAGAAACAAAACACTAATTCATGCTACAACATGGATTAACCCTGAAAACATTAAGCTAAATAAAAGACGCCAGTCACAAAAATCACATACTGTATGCTACCATTTATATGAAGTGTCCAGAATGAGTAAATCTAGAGACATTTACCAGGGACTTGGTGGAGTGGGGAAATGGGGAGTGACAGCTAATGAATACATTGGGTTTTTTCTGGGATGATAAAAATGTTCTGAAATTAGATTATGGTGATAACTGTACAATTCCTGTAAATATACTAGAAATCGATAAATCGGACATGTTAAACAGGTGACTTTATAGTATGTAACGTTTAAAAATAAAAATAAAATACCTAGTATTTTTTGTAATTGATTTTAGAAAGAGGAAGGGAGAGGGAGAGAGGGAGGGAGGGAGAGAGGGAGGGACAAGAGGGAGAGAAAGGGAAAGAGAGAGGGGGAAGGGGGAGAGAGAGAGAGAAAGAGAGAGAGAGAGAGACATCAATAGGTTAACTCCCACACACATCCCTACCAGGGATTAAACCCACAACCTGGTTATGTGCTCTTAACCAGGAATCGAACCCACTACCTTTTGGTGTATGGGATAATACTCCCACCAACTGAGCTACAACAGCCAGGGCAACCCAATATTTAATATTTTATTTCTGTCTTTTTTAGAACACGCATGCCCCCTTACCTCGAAGCCACAGCCCAGCCTGGCAGTCCAAACCTCTCATAGTCCCCTCCATAAATGTCTCGCACTAGTTTATCCACTTTGGTGCTATCTCCACGAGATGCCATTTCAAGAGCTTCTTCAAAAGTGGTACAGCCAGTAAGCAGACAGCAGAGACCAAAAAAGGTTCCTCCTCCAAGACTGTGATTAAAAACAAACAACACAGTATTATAACATTTTTTAAGAAAGAAGGTAATATTTATGAACCCAAAACTATATTCACTTATCAATCCACTCTTGCCTCAAAACAATCATGCAGATGCCTCTAGTAGGAAACAAGTCTGTGAAAAGATAAAAACAAGGGCCTTGAAGATACACGTTCATGTGCACCAGCAAGCAACATGGCAACATTCAGGGCCCACCTCTCCACCCATGTCTCCAGCTGTCTGGGCATCTGCTGAGTTCAAGGAACCTCAAGTGCAAATCAGCCCACCATACCTAGGACCATGCTGGCACCTCCTCCCTTTCTGTCTCCAAGTGCATCCCCAAGTCATCCTCATATAAGCATCTTGTCACCCTGGCTCATCAGCCCCATAACCAACGAGAACTCATCCATAAATGTTTTCCCCCAAAAAATTACTCCTCTCATTCCTTAACTCATACCTGTTAATAAACTTATTTATCCCAATCCCCAGTTCCCGTTTTCCTTCAAGTGACCTCTGATCCTTAAATCAAAGTGCATTCTTTTCTCATCTGCCCCCTAATTCACACATATGCCCCCTGCATACACACATCTAGGCCGGTTTCAAAGCTAGGATCTTGCCTTGCCTTCTCCTTATAGATGCCACTGAGCTTTGGGTACTTTATGGTATATGCACACCATATACTATCTGAGGGCAGGGACTATGCGCTTCATGAGTCTGCTGCTAAGATATTTTATGAAACTATGGTAATGAAACCTGGAGCAATATAGATTAAAGAAAAGTAGGTCATGAAATCAGAATTTTTGATGAGAAAGAGCATTTGTTTGCATAATCCCAGAAAAAGTTTATCTTTCACATAATTTTAACAGATTCTCAAAGGTGGAATTATATGCAACACCTAAAAACTCAGTCAGTGTTGCCCGGCCAGTGTGGCTCAGTGGGTGAGCATCAACCCATGCACCAAGAGGTGTTGCCAGTTCAATTCCTGGTCAGGACCCAGGCTGTGGGCCAAATCCCCAGTGGGAGGCATGCAGGAGGCAGCCAATCGATGTTCTCTCTCGTCAATGTTTCTCTCTCTCTCCCTCTCCCTTCCTCTCAAAAATCAATTAAAAAAAAAAATGTTTTTTAAAAACCTCAGTGTTAACCCATATGGTATCCAGAATAAGACCTACCTGGTACCAGTGACCCGCTTGTAATTATCTTTGGAATATACTGCTAAGATGCTAACCCCAGAGCCAATGTTCACCAGAAGCAGAGGGTATGGATTTTTCAAATCAAACGGTAACTTCTGACATTTTTCCGAATCAGCAGGGTTTTCAAAGTAATAGCACTGCGACCGTCCATTGAATCCAACTGAGTCAATGTATAAAATTCCTTTTATTAAGCAATCTAGTTCATCAAGTTTGCAAAGCTGAAGATCACCTATCTGTAATGAAACAGAATGTTTTTAGACATTTAACAAGCCAAACAGAAATAAAAACTCCATTTAATAAGGCATCCCATCTATATTAAACAAACCGTAAGAGCACTCAAGGATGTGTGTTACTTGTGCATGCTTTACAGAACAAATCTGGAGACAAGAAACGGATGGACTAATAAGACAGACTCTTGCTCCTACAGACACAAATACACTCTACCTACATACAAACCACTGCAGCAGCTGGATAAATGTGCCAAACACAAGCAGAAAACAAGATGTGTGTTCACAGGCATGAAGCTGGAGCATTGCCAAAGTCATAGCCCTATCAGACAGCAGGCTCCAAAAAACCTAAGTGATGCAAGCACCTGGTGACACATGGTAGGAGCCACAAAGACTGACATCTGCCTTCCAAAAGACCATCATCTTCAAGGCTATGGAACAGTAACAAAGTAGGCCACACTTTATTGATAACCTAAAGCCAAAAGGCTGCAAGTGACCAATTAGAAGGTAAGACTTTTCACTATCTAAACAAGTTACAGCCTCTGGAGGACAGGAAAATTTTAGCAGAATCAGAATTTAAAACATTGTCAACTTAACTTCATTTAAATAATTAATGAGTAATTAAATTATTATTTATATTATGGAACACTGTACAGAAATTAAGAATGAAGAGAATCTTCAATCAATAAAAAATTGAAGTGGGATGCCCAGCCAGTGTGGCTCAGTGGATTGAGCATCATCCCATGGACTGAGGGGTCCTAGTTCGATTCCAGTCAGGGCACATGCTGGGTTGTGGGCTTGATCCCCAGTAGGGAGCGTGCAGGAAGCAGCTCATTCATGTTTCTCTCTCACATCAATGTTTCTCTCCCCCTAAAAAATCAATTAAAAAAAAACAAAAAACTAAACCAACCACCAAGGGAAATAAAAACAAAGAATATAAAACCTGGTTTTGAAATTCATTTTTAAAGTTCAATTTTATATTATGATTATGATCAGTTATGGGAGAAAGTCAGGAGATAGACGACAAAGAAAGAGAACAAGGTCACAAGTCATACAATGACACATAGAGGGGAAAAGAAATATAGACTAACATAGGTAAAGGCAGAATCTCCTGAATAATATTCTTTTTTTTTTTTTTGGTAGTATGTGCCACCAGCGGGAACCAAACCCGGAACCCTCTGGTCCACAGGCCGACGCTCAACCACTGAGCCAAACTGGCCAGGGCGTGAATAATATTCTTACTGGTGGCATTAAAACCACGGTCACCAGCCCGGCCAGTATGGCTCAGTGGTAGAGCATGGACCCATGCACCAGGAGGTCACCAGTTTGATTCCTGGTCAGGGCACATGCCCAGGTTGTGGGCCAAATCCCCAGTGGGGGGCATGCAGGAGGTGGTCAATCGATGTTCTCTCATATCGATGTTTCTATCTCTCTCCCCCTCTCCCTTCCTCTCTCTCTAAAATCAATAAAGAAAAACAATTTTAAAAAACATGGTCATTGAAGATATTTTAAATCTAAAGGTCAGAGCCTTGGTCAATTCACTTATCAATTCTCTTACCTACTACCATATCCGCCTTCAAAGGACCTAGCCTCAAGGTCTTGCACAGTGTTCATTGAATGAAAACAAAATCAAGTGCCCACTGGCACTTTCCCTAGTGTCTAGACATGATCTAGAGACTCCTGTTAACAAGTGTGCTGCAGAGAACACATTAGAAGACATTTGGGGAGAGGAGGCTGTTGTCAACCATCTCCAATTAGTTTTTTTGTTGTTGTTCTTATTTGTATCTTCCTTACTTTGTTTTTATTAAATAAACTTGCCAAGGCCTGGCCGGTTTGGCTCAGCGATTAAAGCGTCAGCCTGCAAACCACAAAGTCCGGGTTCGGTTCCCACTAAGGGCACGTTCCTCGGTTGCAGTTTGTCCCCGGCCCCGGTTGGTGTCATGTGGATGGCAACCAGTCGATGTGTCTCTCACGTCGACGTTTCTCTCTCTGTCTTCCTCCCTCTCTTCTCCTGCTCTATCTGAAGATAAGTGCAAAAATGTCGGGTAAGGATAAAAAAAATTTTTAAATAAACAAACTTGCCAAGAAACAATTAAGGGGACAAGAAAAACTATAGGTAGAGGAGATTAGAAACAATTTTATGACATTAATTTTTTTTTATTATTTTTCAATCTCATTGTTCAAGATTTAATGATATTGTTCCTCATATGTAGTCGCTCACTCTGCTTATCACAGCTTCATTATTTTTTCACACTAGAATAACAAAATGCTGTTTTTAGTGGTTCTGATTCTTATCATTTCATCTAAACTGTGCAAAAAGTAAACTATACAACAGTCTTTAGATGGCTAACTCCTATCACTAATTTAATCTTAATTTGACTCGAAAATATTCAAGCTCCATTAGAGATGGAAAAGATTCCACCATTTGCTATCAGTATTATTTTTAACAATAAGTTTACTATAAATTGTATATAAGCTAAAAAAAAAAAAAAATGCATACTGTGAGAAAATCCTGCTCAAATTTGTACGCTCCACCTCCAGTGGCACAAAAGACAGTGTGAAGACTCGAGAAGTTTTTATCTCTGCCCATTTGAATAAAAGCAGGCATGTCATGAGTGGGAAAGCGTATAAAGTGCAGATTGCCTTTGCGTCCACACAGAGTCAGGTCCTTCAGCTCCAGGTGCACGTCCCGAATACCTGTGGACCCATAAGCCACATTGGAGGTCAGGTACTTCCGAATGCTTTTAAGACTTTCTACTTCCTCCTCTTCTTCTTCAGCAGTGATGTCTTTGGGTTCAAAATAAACCAGCTTGACTAGGGTTCCACCAATGTCCAAGCCAAACCATGGAAAAACTAAATGGGGAAGGGAAAAAAAGTCAGAACACCTTTTTCATGAAAACTAAATTTACACTTACTAGATTAGAAACTTATTTCATACCCTGAGGTTCCCTAGGACTATATAAACAAAAAGGTTTTGGAGAAAAGAAATACGATTGTCTAACATGGAAGCATATCTTTTTTTAAAAAATTATAAAGATCAGAAAGAAAATTAACAGAATACTGAGCCGAGCCAACCCTCTTATATGGACAAGTCCAAACTGAACTATGAAATACTAAAAAACAGCAAAATGTCTACCCATGAACCTGAACCCTGGGAAAAAAGATTGAAAATAAGCCCAGCCAGTGTGCCTCAGTGGACTGAGCGTCTACCTGTGCACCAAAAGGTCACCGGTTTGGTTCTTGGTCAGGGCACATGCCCAGGTTTTAGCTCCTGCTCAATCCCTAGCAGGAGGCATGCAGGAGGTGGCCAATCAATGTTGATGACTCTCTCTCATCAATGTTTCTATCTATCTCTCCCTCTGCCTTCCTCTCTCTAAAATTAACAACAAAAAAACCTATTTAGAAAAAAAAAAGACTGCAAATAAAAATCTCCGTCCTTCCCCTTAGAGAAATGTTGGAAGTTTTCAGAGCTCCAGTTTAGTACTCAAACTAGGAGTAGAGGAAAACTACCAATTCTATGTAATATATAAGCTCCAGAGTTCAATTTCTCTCAAAACCTAATGCCCTTGGTTGGTTTGGCTCAACAGTTGGAGCATCAGCCTGCAGACCAAAAAGTCATGGGTTCGATTCTGGTCAAGGGCACGTATCTCAGTTGTGGATCAGGCCCTGGTCGGGGTCGGGGTCATGCAGGAGGCGCCCAATCAATGTGTCTCTTGCACATCAATGTTCTTTTCTTCTCTCTTTCTCTCCCTCCCTCCCTCACACTCTATCTGAAGTGGGGAAATGTCCTTGGGTGAGGATTAAAAAAAGGGGGGGGGACTTCAATGGAATTCAATGTAACAGATGTTTGAAAGTTAGTATCTGTAGAACAAATACTTCAAAAGTTCGTATGGAAACAAAAAAGACCACGAATAGCCACAGCAATCTTGAAAAAGAAGAATAAAGTTGGAAGGATCACATTACCAGATTTCAGGCTATACTACAAAGCCACTGTAATCAAAACAGCCTGGTACTGGCACAAGAACAGGCATATAGACCAGTGGAACAGAACAGAGAACCCAGAAATAGACCCAAGGCAATATGCTCAATTAATATTTGACAAAGGTGGCAAGAGCATACAGTAAAGACAGCCTCTTTAATAGATGGTGTTGGGAAAATTGGACAGCTACATGCAAAAAAAAAAAATGAAACTAGACCATCAACTTACACCATACACAAGAATAAACTCAAAATGGATAAAGGACTTAAATGTGACTCATGAATCCATAAAAATCCTAGAAGAACATGTAGGCAACACAATTTCAGACATCATACACAGCAGAATTTTCACTGATATATCACCTACGGCAACAGAAACAAAGGAGAAAATGAACACATGGGACTACATCAAACTCAAAAGCTGCTGCACAGCAAAAGATACAATCATCAAAACGGAAAGGCAACCCACTGTATGGGACAGCATCATTGCCAATGATATATCAGATAAGGGGTTAATTTCCAATATACATAGAGTGCTCATACAACTCAACAAAAGGAAGACAAAGAACCCAATTAAAAAATGGGCAGAGTGCCCTGGCCGGTTTGGCTCAGCGGTTAGAGCGTCAACCTGCGGTCCTGAGAGACCCGGGTTCGGTTCCCGCTAAGGGCACGTACCTCGGTTGCAGTTTGTCCTCGGCCCTGGTCGGTCGTGCGGGTGGCAGCCACTCGATGTGTTCCTTTCGTGTCGATGTTTCTCTCTCTCTCTCTGTTCCTCTCTCTCCCTCCCACTCTACCTGAGCAAAAAAATGGGAAAATGTCCTCGGGTGAGGATAAAAAAAAATAAAAAAAAAATGGGCAGAGGAACTAAATAGACACCTCTCCAGATAGGACATACAAAATGGCTAAGAGACATATGAAGAAATGCTCAACATCACTAATCATCAGAGAGATGCAAATTAAAACAATGAGGTATCACCTGTCAGAATGGCCCCCATTAACAAATCATCAAACAAGTGTTGGTGAGGGTGTGGAGAAAAAGGGACTCTAGTACACTGCTGGTGGGAATGCAGACTGGTGTAGCCACTATGGAAAAAAATATGGTGTTACCTCAAAAAATTAAAAATTGAACTTCTAGGAATATACCCTAAGAAGCCTAAAACACCAATCAGAAAGAATATATGTACCCCATGTTTAGTTATTTAATAGCAGCACTATTCACAATAGCTAAGATCTGGAAACAGCCCAAATGTCCATCAGTAGATGAATGGATAAAAAAGCTGTGGTACATATGCACAATGGAGTACTATGCAGCTGTAAGAAAGAAAGATCTCTTATCCTTTGAGACAACATGGAGGGACCTGGAAAGTATTATCCTAAGCAAAACAAACCAAACAGAGAAAGACAAGTATCATATGATCTCACTTATTTGTGGAATATAATGAACATAACAGTCTGAGGAATGGGGTAGTCCCAGAGGCATAGAAGTGGGGTACAGACTGACAATCCCCAGAAGAGGAGGTGGTGGGGGAGAGATAAACCACAGAACTTATATGCATGTATGCATGAACAATGGACATGGACAACAAAGCTGGGGACAGGGCGGAGAGGGAGGGAAAGGGGGGCATCAGTGGGGAGGAAAGGAGAAACATCTGTAACAAAAATTAATTAATTAATTTATAAAAAGAAAAAAGAAAGTTAGTATCTGTTACCAAAAAAATCTTTCCCCAAAAAATGGCTTTGGGAGATTGGATCAAGATGGAATGAAGATATACATGGCTTCCCCTCCTACTTTAAATCCCAGAAATGACTAAAGATATAGACTTATTGATATATTATTTTCTAAAATAATTCTAGAAACAAGAAGTGATACTATCAGCAGAACTAGGTTAATAAAGGCAGTAACTGTCCAGAAACCTCAAAAGCGGAATGCTATAATAATTGGGAGCAGCTATGAAGGTGGGAGGAGCATAGGTGTCACATCCAAGCTACAGATGGGGTGACTGTCATGGGGAAACAAGCTCCGGTACAGTCATGGGTAATCTGGTAGGGAAATGTGGCACAATGGACAGGCCAGCCACTTCCCTATAGTCACAACCACTCCCCATCTTCCCCTTCCTCCAACCAACAGAGGCAAAGTCTTCAATGAGCACAAGGACTTGGGCCCAAGATTCAGGAAGACACTCAAAGAACTGCTATGACCCAGAAGAAATAGGTGTCCAATTCTGGCCACATAGCCCATATCTCCCCTACAATCCAACCTGACAGACTGGGAAACAGACACTACATCCTCTGACAGAAAACAGCAATCTTAAAACCAGAGATGATCACTTTACAAACTAGAATCACCAAAAGGGAAATCAACACTACAAAAACAAGAAGCTAAACATCTGAAGAAAGAGTTGCAGGAACATTTGAAGAGCAAGCTGCAAGAACAAACCGGAGACTTAAGAATCAGTGCCCAGCCAGTGTGGCTCAGTGGAATGAGAGGTTCTGGTTCGATTCCCAGTCAGGGCACATGCCCAGGTTGCCAGCTCGATCCCCAGGAAAAGGCGGGGGGGGGGGGGGGGGGGGCGGGGGGGGGTGAGTTGCAGGAGGCACTCCGATCCTTTCTCTCACACACTGATGTTTCTCTCTCTCCCTTTCTCCCTCTCTACAAAATCAATATAAACATTTTTTTTTAAAGCAGGCTGAGTGAAAGACTTACATGAATAACTACATACTATATGATTCCATGTGAAACTCTAGAAAATGAAAACGAATCACTTCTGCATCTAATAGAAAGCAGATCATAGGCTGGGGAAGAGGGGGAGGGAAGGACTACAGAGGGACAGGAGAAAACTTTCCACAGTAATCCAAACCATGATTAGCAGGGGGTGGGAGAGCTTCATGGGTGTATATATCTGTCAAAATATATGAAACTGTATACTTATAATGAATGCTGTTTACTTTATGTAGATTATACCTCAATGAAGACGCATTTACAAAAAAGGAGAAAAACTGATTTCCAAAATAAAGCTTAATAAGTACATTCAACAACAAAATAGGCACCGAAAAAAGTAAATGGAAAACTAAGAAGTTCTTCCAAAATGCCTCTTGAGTATGAAGGAAAGGTAGATATAAAGTATATAGAACCAGAGTCCAACATCGATCTTATATGAGTTTAGACAGTTTTGGGGGAAGAAAGAGGAGAAAGAACATTAACCATCAGGTTAAAAGATCCACTAAGTGTTAAACAGAATCAATTAGTGGAAAATGGGGAGACTTAGACACACTGTATTAAAATTTCAGGACACCGTAAAAACTTCCACAGGAAAAAAATGAATTCCTATAAAAACACATAAATCACATACGGGTAAAATTAGATTTTCATCAGCAACACAGATGCTAGAAGACAATGGAGCAATAGCTTCAAAGTGATCTACAAAAAGATTTTGAAACTCATATCCAGACAAATCAGCTCTCAAGTGGCAGTGCAAAAGACGAATGCACTCCAGTATCATTTAAAAAGCATCTAAGATGTGAGCAATAAGGTACAATGATAAGCAAAAGAAGCAATATATGCTAACTTTTAGAAAAATAAGTAATCTGGAACTAAAATACTTACATGATTTCAACACAGGAAGTCAAAGAGGAAGAGGAAGAGAGGGAAGTAAGAGCAAGCAACAATTCTCTTTTTCAGCAAAGATATGGATTCTCATTAATTCTAAACAATAAAGAAGGGATGGTTTAAATGCTTTAGAACATCCAGAAGAAGAAAAATGAACATATAACCTAAAAAGTAGGAAAAAATCAGTTAAAAAAAAGTAATAAAAATATGATAAACACAAAATTTTAAATGACAGGAATGAATGCAAACATGTCATTAATCACAAGTA